TCTAAGTGAGCTCAAATTCAGCTGATAATCTTGTTGTTATTGGAAATTGAATGAAAAGAGATAAAGGTGGTTGAACTTTCTGACAATTGTAGAAATCATCAGAAACCCACAGTGACTAGCTAACCTCTTAAGTTTGGTTCTTGGTCTTCTTCACTATTGTATGCCAGTCACCAGCACGCTATAAGATCATGACGTTGAATTTTAAGTACAGGTTTCCCCTACTATCCAAAGTACAGTGTACCTGTGAAACTTTTTGTAAGCCAAAATGGCATAAAGAAGCAATTACCATTAGTTTATTAGGGAAAAATATTGAGTTTTCCCAGACCCGAAAAACAGCCTCTCTTTGGCTTTTCTGATACTTTAGGACCTATCTTCCTAATGGGTGCACAAAGTAAACCAAGGTAAAGCATAGATGCTATGGTAATGGTATGGCAGCTTGAGCTGAGTGTAGTTCCTGGGAAAGGAGCTTGGTGGTGCCACTTTTCTCGGGATGTGTGCTGCCTCTAATGGCTCACTGCAAAACATGCTGAATGCTATTTTTGCTTTTTCCTTTTTTTCATGAAAGCAAAAATTCTTTGGGTTTCCTTTAGCTAGTGAAAACAGATATTAATGTAGGTCTTTCATAAAAGCAAAGTGCATAACATGAACTTTCAGAAAGTGAGGGATACATATGTACTTTCATAAAAGATCAATGGGCTTCTTGACCAATTTAATTCATTAGGGCAGATTAACCATGTCTCATAACAGCTTTAAAATTCAGGAAGTCTGGGACGGGACGCCTGGGAGGCCCAGTCAGTCAGGCGTCTCCTTCAGCTCAGGTCATGATCCCAGGGTCCTGAGATAGATTTCCTCATCCATCGTCCTTGCTCAGAGAGGAGTCTGCTTCTACCTGTCCCTCTGTCTTCTTCCCCTGCTTGTGCTGTTTCGCTTGCTCGCTCTCAGACAATAAATAAAATTTAAAAAAAAAAATTCAGGAGGCATAAGAAAAAATGATATAATGCTAGTTGAAAAGAATTATTAGAATGAAATACAAAAATACATTTTGGGTTGGTATCCTTTATCCACCCTTCAACCTAATGGGGGATGTTTTTGCGTTGCAGATTGAATAGATGGAATTTTAACTCTATGTTTAATTTCAGGGAGGGAAAGAAACCATAATTTGTATTTAATGAAATAGCCTATAGATACGTAAGCAGAGAGGAAAGTGATAGAAATATTTTGTGTATTCAAATCAATCATAAATCTTCGTAGTATTTCATTGTGTTCTGGGTCATGGATTACCCTGAAAGACCGATGGTAACTGTGGCTCTACTTCCCAGAAAAATAAATGCACACTCCCAGTTGTGTATGCCATTTGTTGATGCAACCATTGCCTTCTTCCCCTTAGTCCCAAGTTCTTGATAAAAAAGTTACCCTGGCATGTTAAACCTTGAAAGCTATTAGAAATCATCTAAACTAGTACTACTTAAACTGTGCTTGTGAAATCAGTGGAATGAATCAAGACCAACATTAAAAAGAAAAGAGAAAAATAGGATAGAAAATATCTGTGCTATCATAACGGGCTAAGAGTTCTGTTTTGTGAACCATCTTTCCATTTATGGGCACGTCTGGTGGCGTGCACGTGCGCTAGTACTGAGTCCAGATATAAAATGCATTTTTTTTTTAATTTGGCAGACAGAGATCACAAGTAGACAGAGAGGCAGGCAGAGAGAGAGAGAGGAGGAAGCTGGCTCCCTGCTAAGCAGAGAGCCTGATGCGGGGCTCTATCCCAGGACCCTGGGATCATGACCTGAGCCGAAGACAGAGGCTTTAACCCACTGAGCCACCCAGGCGCCCCAAAATGCATTTCTTAACTGAGGATTGAAGGTAAAGATTGAGAAACACTCAGTTGTTCTAGAGAACCTGTTCATATTGTAGCTGAGGAACTTGATGCCCTTAAAGGCTAAATGATTTGTCAGACTCCCCTCCCCTTCAACACACACAATCAATTTTTGGTGGTTGAGCCAGTACTAAACCACATTCCTCGATTGCTAGTTTTGCTGTTCCACAATACTAAGTTTTCGAAATAGAATTTTGAAGTAGATTATTTCAAAATATTAAGTGGTCATCTGTTTCACACTTGGTATTCTTTAATCCTTTATTTTTCCCACTAAAATGACCTCTGTCATTGTCCTATAAAATAATCATGAGCATGAGCTGCTTTTCCAGAGTTTGAAAAATATTTCAAGGCCTTTCTGTTGGCTTTCCACATACCTGAATCCTGGAATTTTGACACTTAGGGCCTAATCAGAAGAATTTTAAAAAGAATAAGACACCAAGGTTAAGTTTTATGACCAAACCAAATTAATCATTTTTAATTATTTCTACATTCAGTTGATAACTAAATGCAAAATGCGGCTCTAGCTTTTGATACTGGATCACTGGGAGACCTTGTAGCCTTCTTTATTTTAATCTGACAGGAGGCTTTCTCAAACTTGAATGTCATACAAATTGCCTAGAGGGTCTTGTTAAAATGCACTTCTGGGGGTACCGGGGTGGCTCAGTGGGTTAAAACCTCTGCCTTCAGCTCACATGATCCCAGGGTCCTGGGATCGAGCCCCTCATTGGGCTCTCCGCTTGGCAAGAAGCCTGCTTCTTCCTCTCTCTCTCTCTCTGCCTGCCTCTCTGCCTACTTATGATCTTTGTCAAATAAGTAAATAAAATCTTTTTTAAAAAATGCACTTCTCATCCAGAATCTGGAGGAGTTTCTGGATTTCTAACGACTGTCTGGAGGTGCCGCTGCTTCTAGTAGCAAGGACTTGATGTTACCTTTTAAACCATGGTAGGAAAATAAAGCTTTCAAGAAGCTTTCCATGTCTTGATTTTTATTAACATTTTCATGCTTTTCAAATGGGCTACAAAAATTAAAATGTCATTTAAATTTTAATTGTATTACTTCTTGTATTTAAGAACATACCTTTAAAAGAGCCATACTCCTCAACCCCCACATTTCATGAGTGACAGTGGCCCTCTTTGCAGCGTTGTTCTAGGGGATTCAGAATGAGCAGTGCTTCATGTAAATAGAATGTTCAAGCTTTTCCACAGAACTTAATTTCCCAAATACCCAACGCCTTGAATTTCAGGAAGAACATTTTCTAAAATATTATATAATTTTCTTAAGCTATTGTGTGCACTTGTTGTTCTAATGATGTAAGAGCAGTGGTTCAAGGTTTTCTTGGAAAAAGGTGTTGAACTGCATGTGAAATGAATAAAAGCCACAACGCCTTCTTAAGTTCTTGCATCTGCTTTTTGTGCTTTGACTATTTTGTCTGTCCAGATGACAATTATTAGTAGTAAAGCAGCTCATTTCCCTTTGCAATCTAATTGGTCGCTCTCTGACCTGAAAGTCAGGTATGTTTGGACTAATCCTGATCAGAAGGACCTCCCTGCTGTGGGGGCTTTCTAAGGAGGTTGGTGTCTGGAAGTTCAGTAGCAGTTGAGCAGGAGAGAAATCTTTTGGTTTTATCCATATCCTGGGTAATTAGCTCAAATAGAACACATGTGCTCCTTCTTTATACCTTTCACTGCATGCTTTTTAAAAACTGGTCTCTAGATCTCTCTCTGTAACATTGTGTGATTTGAAAGGATGTGTAGCCCTGTGATTGGGAACACACAATAATTGTAATAAATGAGCAGCACTTCAGGGTCCTTCTAAAATGGGGATGAATAACCTTGTGGAAAAGACCGTTGGTTCTCTCACACAGTCAGTTCTGTCCTGGCTTTGCAGTTTTAAGAGTGATAATGAAGACAATAAAGAGGATATTCCTTGGCTCAGTGTCACGATTTAGGGTCCAGGGATTAAAAGTTTGATTTCAGTGTGTTCTCTTCAGCAGATTATTAGTTATAATAACCATCACAGTGCATTCGTAGAGCCCTCGCTTGGTCAGGCAGTCATTATTCTGACGACTCCTGGGCTATAAGCAGGACTGTGGACATGAAGACTGCCTTAGGTGAAGGGTTGGGGGGACGGGGAGCAAATGGCTGCTGTACTCGAAACAAATGAGAGTAATCCAGGTAGATAAGGGTGAGATTCAGTCTCCTCATTAGTCCGTCTTTAGAAATAAATACGCATGTGTGGCACCCGTAGCAGGTGTTTTGTTTTTTCTTGCTCATCAAAGGCTAGAAATTGTTGGGGGATTCACATGCATGAAAACCATATACGTAGTAGTATATGTTCTTCTGATTCAAAGGAGGGAGAACCTGTTTGCATTTTTAACTAAGCAGCATCAGAACATTTATCATTTTGAATAGCCTTATTACTGGTTTTGTGTTAGAAGTTGTGGATTATATTCTTTAAAATCATGACAAGTTAAATGTAGCCATAACATTTAGGCTGGATTTTGAGATCCTGAGCAGGGCCCATCTGACCTATTTTTAGTGAATTATAATTTTAAATGCCGATTAGCAGATTTGTGTAATTTGAATCTTACTTTTTATGTCTAAAATCTGTCTGTTTCAGTGCGGCTAAACCTACTGGTATAATCTTAGTCTAATTTAAAAGTATTTTCCGGTCTGGGACTCCTGTCAAAGATCATCATAGAAACTAGAAAATGTTGGGAGGTAAAACGAACACATGACCTCATCTCTCTCATTTTGCACTGGACTGTAACTTGCATTCAAAGAGACTGCAAAAAGAAAAACAATATTCCTTTCCATTAAGCTGTAGTAAGTGTGTTATTTAGTATGGTTTTGCTATAATAATCCCTTTTAGAGGGAAGAAAGGAGGATTTTGTTTGAAGTATTTGAAACTAAATGCTGCCAGGATAAAGATTTTACTAGAAATACAGAGTAGATATCAGTCCCTACCCTCTGTTAATCGATCCTGCTTGTTTAACTGGGGAAATAAAAAATGTACATCTACTGAAGAGAAGTCTGTGAGCACAAACTGTTCCTTTCCTGTTTGCAGATCTATTTCATAGGTTGTTTATTTTATTTAAATATACAGTAATACAGGAGACAACAGAATGCAACTGCTGTTCCTTTAACATTAGAGCTATGCACGTTACAATAGGTGTCACTGTTTTGCTTGGTCCAATCATGATTGGTGACTTCAGCTATTGGCTCCGAGCACTGGCTGTCTGACTCCATCTGCAGGGCTGTAATACCTACTCTCCTCCGATCCATTCACCACACAACTTCAGCCGGCTGAACAGACTCGCAGGGCTCCAGCACATCTTGCTAACCTAATTCAGAAAACAAGCGCTACGGCTCTCTCTCTGCCTGTCATCTTCGCTCAGTCTAGCATTTTTCAGGTGATCTAGGAAACTGGGTTATTTTTATGAGCAAATAAGAGAAATAGGAATCATGATGGAGATGTATTTTGCAGACCCAGTACTGGATAAAACTTAAAGCCAGTTTCTATTCAACATAGTGAAAAGGTCACCTTGTCCGGCTGAGAAAAGAAGCAAAATAGCAGCTTGTTGGTTTCTGTTAACATCTTGGCTCATGCCAGCCTCTTTCCCTTGATGTGTGCACCAGTTTGGGATATCTAGCTATAAAGAGAGACATACTGTACTCATGGTAGATGACAAGGAAAAGAACATGAAATGTCTCACCTTCTTCTTGATGCTTCCAGAGACGGTAAAGAATAGGTCCAAGAAAAGCTCAAAGAAGACAAATAGTGGCGGTGGCGGCGGCGGCGGCAGCGGCAGCAGCAGCAGCAACAGCAAGTTGCCCCCAGTTTGTTATGAAATAATTACCTTGAAGACTAAAAAGAAGAAGAAGATGGCTGCTGATATATTCCCTCGTAAAAAACCAGCCAACTCCAGCAGCACCACTGTCCAGCAGTACCACCAGCAGAATCTCAGTAACAACAACCTCATTCCAGCCCCAAACTGGCAGGGTCTCTATCCCACCATTAGAGAAAGGTAAGTTCCTAGCCAGCATATTTACTTTAAAAGTTTTCCTGTGTTGAAGTTTCTGCTTTTGCACAACCTGTAATGTATTTTAACATAAATCTGTGTTTCCTCTTTTCCCAGAAGCTTTATTGGTAATGGAAAACTGCCTTGTATCTTTTCCAAAACAGTACAGCTGTTTTCCTCTTAGATAAAAATGTTTTTGCAAGCTGTAACATTTAAGTGACAGGCTTGTGTCCACGGACCATGGAAGGTTTGAAGATAGAAGCCTCTTATTTGTCTTTAGTCTAATGAAAAGTTTGGATTACTTTTTGGGTTTTTGTTTTGTTTTAACTCTAGTTACTTCTCATGTGTTTGCAATGATCACAAACAGTTGTTTAGTTGAAATCTTTATTTGTAGTTTAACCCTGAAGTTACTAAACTGTTGCTTAGCTTGTGATTCTTTCATGGGTTTTGTATGTTGGGGAGGGGTATTAAAAATGCTGGCTGCTGTACATTAATGAATTGCCTCTGTTTGTAGAAATGCGGTGATGTTCAATAATGATTTGATGGCAGATGTACATTTTGTGGTTGGGCCACCAGGTGGGACTCAGCGGTTGCCAGGACACAAAGTAAGCAACAGCTGCATTACTGGTTTAGTCCTGAGATTTACAAAGAGGGACCCTCTCCATAAGCCTGAAACTTGGTTGGGGTGGGCAGCTTGCCGATGGCAGGCAGTGCGTGTTTCAGCCATCACAGAGAAGGCACAGCCTCTCCAAAGGGTCTTGGCCACGCTTAATTTTTTTTTCTTTGTTTCTTTCTACCCTGCTTTACATCCCACACAAAAACATGCCCTCTCAACTTTCCAGTCCTGGGAAGTTGTTGCGACAGGTTAGGAAAGTCATGTTTACTCTTCCCCTAGAAATTGGTTCGGTAAGCTTTTATTTGATTTATTTATTCTGTAATGAGGGAACTTAGACATTAATCTCTTAAAGCCTTGAGGTAATTAGCAGCATAAAGACTGGCTTGCATGAGCATCTATCTTCTGCTTTCAGAGCAAGATACACACTGTACCTTGGCTTTGAAGAAAGAGCAGGTGTAGGTGCTCCATGTCCACCAAACCTGATTGTTCAGAGTTGTTTTTCTGGGCTGATTTGCTGAAAATGCTTTCAGTTTAGTGCATGAAATAAGATTTCCCTTTCTCCACAGTATGTTTTAGCTGTTGGGAGCTCTGTGTTCCATGCAATGTTTTACGGAGAACTTGCTGAGGACAAAGATGAAATCCGTATACCAGATGTCGAACCTGCTGCTTTTCTCGCTATGCTGAAGTAAGCATCGTTCATTTGTTTAGAAAGAGTTTGTTTATGCTGTGTTTGTACTCTGCTGGTTTCTCAGTTAAATATAAGAAAGGGAGACCGATGAAGAAAGAGGGTGCTGCTTACCTTGTAAATGTTTTTGGAGAAAACTCCTGTGCATCTTTCAGGGGAAAGCATGTGGAACTGTGCAGGCATCTATAATACACCTTGGCATGGGATTTGGGAGCAAGTGACATGGATAGTGATTTGATTTTTAACGACTCATAGTCAAAGAAAAATCACTTTCTCGTGTAGGATTATCTGATTGCGCATGTTCTCTCTGACAGCATTGTGTCTGAAGTCTCCAAAGACATAAATTATATTTTTGTTTCACAATTTGAGCAATTATATACCTCGTTGAAGTACCACTAGTTAAGAGATTTCTCAGTTTTTTAGGAGTTCCTGTTTCCTCTCAGTAAATGTAAAACTAACTGTGTTAAAATAATCTGATCTTTGCCTATATGTATATGTGCATACCCTTATATAAAATCAGATACCATTTCTCAAGGATAAAGCATTTGCATTTGATGGTAGAGGAGACATTTTTGAGAGAGATGAATAGTTTTCTATAGTTTTATATGTATTTTTACAGGAAAACTTTAATTAATAATACACAGATGTGATGCTGTAAGATATATGCTTATTTAAAAAATAGTTTTTTGTCTCATGGGTCTTTTTTAAACTCCATTACGTGTTGACTAGCTAAATAGAGTCTACGCCTCTGATGTGCACTGCTGCTGGACAGTGATATTCTACTCTGTGATTAACCTGCAGTGATTAGTTTAAATAACGTTTTATGATTTTTGTTAAATCCTTCTTCTAGCACACCAAGTATACACAGAGTTCACGGTTGTCTACTGCTGTGGGGATTTAGGTTCCCTGGAAAAAACATCTTTGTTTAAAAAAAATCATTCTGTGTGTCAACAAGTTGGACGATAATTGGACAATAACCCCACAAATGGTTAAAAGGTTGCAAGATATTTATTGTCTGCTCCTACTGAAAAATACGTACTGCAGTTAGCTGTAGAACTTAAAAAGTATTCAATTCTTTATTTATGTTGTAGTTTTGAAATCTAATTGCTTCTGACTGAAACTTTCACAGTGGGAAATAGGGAAATTAAAGATAAGTGAGCATGTGAAGTATCAAAAGGTAAACTAACCACTTCCAAGCAACCAACGTTCAGTGACCTTTCTAATCTTTTAGAGATAAATGTACAGAAACCAGTTTTAGCTTTGTTTTTTGTTTTTTGTTTTCTTTTCTTTTCTTTTCCGATCACGTCAGCTTTGCGTACTTGACATTTCAGTCTCAGAGGAGAACGCTAACACTAGTTCAGCATTGGGACTGCACTGCAGTCCAGTGGAGTGTTGTGTTGTTTTAGCCAGAGAGATTCATGGTGAGGAAACACGAGTAAGAATTACAGCACTACATTTCACCTGAGTCATTTGATTCACATCTTTTCTTACAAATATATCACCTAGAATATATCTCAATACAGCTTTTTAAAATTCTACATGTAGCCCACCAGCAGTGGTAAGAATCAGAAATGTAGTAAGGTGCCGTTTGCTGTCGGGCCACAGTTGATCAAGACTGCACTGTTGCCAGGGCTGGTGGAGGCCAGGTTTTCCAGACAGCTGTGTTGTATGGCTGAGGAGCCGGTATTCCTAGAAAGGGAGTCATCAAGAGAAAGGGAAGACCGCTCACTTGACAGTTCCAGGGTCAGAGCAGCACTGAGCTTCCAGTATTTTGTGAGTGTGTCTTGGCCAGTGGTATATGGCTCAGCCTATCAGAAGAGAAAGAGCTTCCTGGGAGCAAAAATGAAGGTTTCATTTGTGAGTGTGGACATTTTTCTTTTTGTCATCACTGTGGGCTTTTTTTTAACTTTCTTTGCAAAAGCCATTGCTAATCTTTTGTTACATGTGTTTCACGGAGTTAAAATATAGTAACTAAAGTAAAACTTCACAGCAAGTAGCTAAACACCTTAGCTTTGACTGGAAAAAATTAAAAGTTAAATTTTATCACTATGTATTTTTCACCCGTATGTAGTTCTCACTGAACTCTTGTACTCATCCGTGGCTATCTAAAAGAAGCAGATGATTTTTGCTTTTATATACCATCTTGGGAGACTGCCACCATCTCCCCAAATCACCAAGGAGTGTTTTATTTCCTGACATAGAGATACTTCACAGAATCATAAAAATAGTACATATTTGGGCTTTCTTGCTTTTGTCTTTTAATTAAATCTATTCAGAAATAATACATTCTTTAATTCTGAAGGTAGAAGAAATGTATGGGGGAGAGAAGAAAGAATTTAGAGTTCAAAAAAAAAAATCCAGATACAAAGCCTATGTTGGATTCTATGTAAAGGCAACTGGAAGATATTGTTGAAATCCATATATGATAGTCTATTTAGAAATACTTGAAAAATATCTTTCTTAATCTCAGGTTTTATTTTGTGTTTAGGAAAAATTCAGGTTAAAAATTCTTGGTTAAAAGAATTAAGATGTAAATCATTGCTAACGTATTAAAGGCATTTGTTCCTTTTTTTTTTTTTTTAAGATTCTATTTATTTATTTGACAGAGATCACAAGGAGGCAGACAGGTAGGCGGTGGGGGGGGGGGGAGCAGGCTCCCTGCTGAGCACAGAGCCCCATGCAGGCCTCAATCCCAGGACCCTGGGATCATGACCTGAGCTGAAGGCAGAGGTTTTAACCCACTGAACCACCTGGGTACCCCTAAAGGCATTTGTTTCTTTCTGAATATATGAAAATTTTTAAAATAAAACTATGTATATAGAAAGAGAGCTTTTGAAACATAAGATTATTCTTTTTTAAAAGATTTTATTTATTTATTTGAATGAGAGAGAGAGAGCATGAGGGGGGTAGGGAGTGACAGACTTCCTTCTCAGCAGGGAGCCAGGACATGGGGCTCTCCAGGCTCAATCTCCGGACCCCTGGATCACGACCCGAGCCAAAGACAGATGTTTAACTGACTGAGCCACCCAGGCACTCCAGAGATTATTATTTGATTAAATATAATATGGTGTATTTAATAGAAATTTTGCCTTTTTGTTTTTGTTTTTGTTTTTGTTTTGTTTTGTTTTTTGCTAATACTAACTCTGATACACAGTTTTTTGTTTTTTTGGTTTTGGGTTTTTTTTTTTTCCTTTTTCCAAACAGTTCTAGTATCTTCTCTTTTTTGAGAAGACATTGAGTGCAGGTTATAAAATAAAAGCTAGAATGGTAACACAAAGTAAATGTCTTTAATTATACAAACTTACTGCTGAGTTGAAATATTAATAATTTATGAACATACTTCAGATGTTTCTTTAATCCCTAATCATTTTGGTAATAACTGTCACATAAGATGATTTTCTTGGAACTAACTTGAAAGTAGTTGCATCTTTTCTTACTAGACACGCTCATTTTGTGAAAGTTCCATTTATATGCTGGGTACTCTCTTTCAGATATATCTATTGTGATGAAATTGACTTGGCTGCTGACACAGTGCTGGCCACTCTTTACGCTGCCAAAAAGTACATTGTCCCTCACCTCGCCAGAGCCTGCGTTAATTTCCTGGAGACCAGCCTGAGCGCCAAGAACGCCTGTGTGCTCCTCTCCCAGAGCTGTCTGTTTGAGGAGCCAGACCTGACCCAGCGTTGCTGGGAGGTGATCGATGCCCAGGCCGAGTTAGCTCTCAAGTCTGAGGGATTCTGCGATATCGACTTCCAAACTCTAGAAAGTATCCTCCGCAGGGAAACTCTGAATGCCAAAGAAATTGTGGTTTTTGAGGCAGCACTCAACTGGGCCGAAGTGGAATGCCAGCGACAAGATCTGGCTCTGAGCATTGAGAATAAGCGCAAGGTCCTGGGAAAGGCACTCTACTTGATCCGCATCCCCACCATGGCCCTGGATGATTTTGCAAATGGTGCTGCCCAGTCTGGAGTTCTGACTCTCAATGAGACCAACGACATTTTCCTCTGGTACACTGCAGCCAAAAAACCCGAGCTGCAGTTTGTGAGTAAAGCCCGCAAGGGCCTCGTCCCCCAGCGCTGTCACCGTTTCCAGTCCTGTGCCTATCGGAGCAACCAGTGGCGTTACCGGGGCCGCTGTGACAGCATCCAGTTTGCGGTTGATAAGAGAGTGTTCATTGCCGGCTTTGGGCTCTACGGCTCCAGCTGCGGCTCTGCGGAGTACAGCGCCAAGATCGAACTCAAGCGGCAGGGCGTCGTTCTGGGGCAGAACTTGAGCAAGTACTTTTCAGACGGCTCCAGCAACACCTTCCCTGTGTGGTTCGAGTACCCAGTGCAGATTGAGCCAGACACCTTCTACACAGCCAGCGTGATACTGGACGGCAATGAACTCAGCTACTTCGGACAGGAAGGCATGACGGAAGTTCAGTGTGGCAAGGTGACTGTCCAGTTCCAGTGCTCCTCGGATAGCACCAATGGCACTGGGGTGCAGGGCGGGCAGATCCCTGAACTCATATTCTATGCTTGAAAACCCCTCCCGAAGCGGTGTGAGCTCTGAGGTGCACATCTGGTTCCCACTTGCTTGATGCTTAGCTCATCTGCAGAGATGTGATCAGCGCAGGTAATTCGTAATGAATGAAGCTATAGGCAGTTTCTCATTTCTTTCAGCCTTTTAATTATGTACAGGCAAAAATGCAGCATTCAGCTTCTAACTATATGCTTAAAAGAGCCAAGTTCTTATCAAGGCTTTGTGATTTTTAGAGTTAACGTCTATACACCTGGAGAGAATTTGTGCTCTTTTCCAACTGCCCCACTGACCTCCCAGTTTTGTCCCTCTTAAAACTTTCTAGATCACCTTGAATTTCCTTTAGGGTTTTATTTTGACAAATAGAAATAAAGACTTTGAAATAATAATGAAAAGAGTTATTTTTAAAGAGAACCCCTGCCCCCCTGCAATTACAGATAAACCTCAGTGCACAATTTTGAAAGAAGTTTTCCTTCGTAATAAGTAATAATTTAGAAAGTAGGCAATAGTTAGGTTTAGCTCTTATTTTACTTCATTTTAAATATTTTACTCTGGGCATTATTTTTTCTTAAATCCTAAATTCATAAGGTTGTTAAATGTTAAACACTATAAAGTATCCATGTAAAATAGGAGAACAGGAAATTGGATATTTGCTTAGGCCATGACTTCTACTACAACCAGGTTTTTATTCTTTTAGTTTAGGAGACAAACCTGCAATACGGACACATCTTTTAGAACTAACTAAATTACACATTTTTATTGGCAATAGGGAAAAATCACAGGCCTATTAATTTAAACTAAAACAGCATATAAAGGAAACCTAAAAAAGTCCCATTCTACCAATAGTTTTTTTAATGGCATAATAGAATACACCGTTTGAAAAAGCCAGTCTTTTCCCCACTTTGCTTCTGATCCCCACTGTTTGCTTGTTTTTATGTTATACTGTATGGAATTTTTAATCCCTTTTTCCCATGAAAAGAGGACCAAACAATTCTTCAGATGTATGGAATAACCACTAGTTTTGTAGCACTACATGTTAATATAATAAGATACTTTTATTCATTGATTTTTCTTTTTTTTTTTAATTCCAAAATACACTCTACCTGATCTGCTTTGACCACATACTATCTTCTTCGTTAATTATAGTTATGTCCTGTTCCTAGACTGCTAGAATTTGGCTTTTGGTCATTGTAAAGTGCCAATATACGCCTGCAGGGTTTTAAAAAAAAAAGGTCCTGAGCAATACACTTGATGGTACCTAAATATTCACTGCATCAGCATCACATCCAGCCCTCTTATTTGTACATGGTTCATGCAAACAAAGGAGGGAAAAGCTCATCTCAACATTCTCCTTCAGTGATGGCTTGTGATGGTTTAGTGCCTGTGACCCTGGTAGTGTCCAATTTGTTCACTTCCAGTTGAAGTATCCATGTGTTTCTGGGCAGCTTTTCTGCTCAGTGTGATCCTGAGATGGCTTCCCCCACCACCCAGAGTGTGGTCCCTGGCCACCTCCTTCTCCTGCTCTGCAGGTCCCTAGCTGACTTGTCTGGAGCCAGGGGTTAGTCCTGGGGTGGGCGGGTGTGTGCGCGTTGTGGGCGTCCGTGCGCGTCCATGTGCATGCAAGTGTGTTTGCCGACTCAGGAATTGTCTCCTCCCTGCCTGGCCAGTGAGAGGTGGGACAGAAATGGTTCCCCTGCTGGCCCTAGCAAGGCCCTGGGAAGTGACTACCCTTATCTGATTCACTGTGCTTCTGGGCCACCATTTCCCCCATAGACGTGGGCTTGTTGCTTTTGGCCAGCTTCCCTGGTGGAGGAGAACACTGGATTATGGGAAATGTTTTAATCATGTTTGCCATTACCTATGGCTGTTAGCATAGGTGATCAAAAGCTGTTACTGGTGATTATAGATGAGTACTCCCAGGACAACTTTCCAAAATTACCTAACAATTACTTCTTATTAGGAAGATGACAGAGAGTAGTTTGGGCAAAGTATCTATGAAATAAAGGTTATGTTTTCAATTTAAAAAATACTTCTATAAAGGATTTTGCTTTTAAATTATGATTAAACATTTCAGTAACTCATAGCTACCATGCAAATTGGTAGGCTGTATACCTGGTTAGAAGGCACTCATTTTTAAGCCAAAGGAGAAGAAACTTGATTTAGCACTAATGTCATCATCTCAGATTGTTGAGGTGGGTGTGATAACCTTAGAGTGAAGATTGTTCATTCGGTAACATTCACTGTCAGTGTTCTGGTTAGCAAGATGCCCTCCACGTGGGTAGGGAACTGCTGTGGGGGGAAAGCTGAGGGAGATCGTGTACTGGGGGTATGAGAGCTTGGTTTTATGTTAATTACCATTAGCTAAAAAAGAAAAGACGCATCCACCACCTGATTGGCTGGTGCTGAGAGCCGTGGGTTAAATTTGAAAACTGTATTTAGAATAAGAAATTTTGTATTTTAAATCCTATTCTCCCTTTTGCATTTTCAACAACGTGGAATGAAAGCTAACATGCTTGCTTTATTTTCTTTGGTAATCTCGAATTTTGTAGCTTTTAAAAACTAGAAACCATTGTTCTGACAAGGCAGGCAACTCTAGTGTATAAACACAACTTTATTAAACAGAATATTCTGTAGATGCTTTCCCCAATATATCTGGCAGTCTTTGTCGTTGTTCATACTGGGGATAAAGGGGAACTAGGCTAGCGGTTCTAATGTAACATTCTTTAAGCATATCTTAATATAGTATTTAAGTAAATGGTCTAATTTCTACATAATTATTGCACTGAACTGTCTTTTTTTGTTTTTTTAAGGTGTTTAAATAAGCTCGGCTAATTCAAGACACTGGCCACTTGTGCATCAGAGTGCTTGAATTTAGTAGCTTACAGCATTATTTATGAAGGAAAAATACATAAATATGAAGTACCTCATGTTGAATGTTATTGTACTGTATTTTTAATGTAACAGTGCAGATCTTGTTAGACACATGAATGTGTATAATCATGTTAAAAGCAAATAAAAATAAAATTGGTTCATAGATTTGTTTTCCTTGGCATTTTTGTAGGTCCCTTGAAACAGTAAAAAAATCCATTCTGGCACTTTTGGTGCCACTACGTTTTACAGAGATGGTTTTGCAGGAGTATTTGTTTGCTAAGTATTCACATATCTTTGATCCCTAAAGATGTAAAAATTTGAGGCAAAAGCATACGAGAACAATGAATATGTTAATCAATTGCATTGTTCAAAGCCTGACTGTGACGTTAATGAGAGGAAGTGAATGGGTGCATTTATATTCCCTATATGGAACCGTGCTTTGCTGGCATTCTGATGCTATAGTTGCTCACATGTCTGTGGATCTGGCTGTACTAAGGGGGTGTGGATACATCCAGCTTTAGATGTAACCCGTGCTGCTTGTTCCTGCTGTGTTATAATAGCTTAAGTCTCTGAATGAAAAAAATAAATATCTTATGGGAATTTTGAATACAATTTTTATGTGCTCAACGAGTTTTCCATTATATTTGCCCATATTGAGTAATATATACACACACATGCACACACACTTGTACATAATTCATATACATGTACATATATTTTTTTCTCTGCAGTTTTCTGTTGGTTTTATACTAGAGTTTATCATGAAACCCTATATATTTGTTTAATCACTTTATCTGCTCAGCTTTCTGTAGCATACCTACTCAGAGGATTTTTGGAATTATTCCAGAGAATAAAAAACTGGAAATTTCTTTCTAATCAGCTTAATTACAGATACAACCTAAATTGCAAAGGTCTTTAATCCAGGAAAGTCAGCTGTTTTCTCTGTTGCTAGTTAAACTTAATCCCCATATGCTTGTTTTCAATATCCCAAAACAGTTGGAGATGATACTCTTCCTTTGTTGGCATCCAGGATCAACATGTCATAGAAATTATATTCTTCTCCCTGTGGACTCTGGCTTGCCTACAAAAGCCATGAACTTAAACTTAGGAAAAAACAGAAACTGAGGAACTAAATCATATGAAATGCGGAGGCCAAAACAAGCAAGTGGCCCTGAAAACCTGTGCTTACCCTAAGTGTTTATTAGAATAGGACTCTGGGCGCCTTTGAGATGTGTCAGTGAAAGTTAACTACACTTTCAATTTCCAGTTAATATATTTCAACATTTTTTTTCTGAGCCATTTACATTTATTGACCAACTACTCCCTTTGGTCAACACTTCATTGAGTGTTATCCTCAATTTTAAAAAAAATATATCCTCTAACAAAACTAAAAGCTGGGGAAATGTTTCTAAAATAAAATTTCCTCACTTATCTCTATAACCACTGTAAGTGCTGGTGAAAAGACCTTCTCTATCAAGATACTGTCCTGTGGGTGAGATGGAAGTATTTGTGAGGAAAGGTTGAAGACGGTGGTTGACCCTGTCACACACCAAGCCACATAGATCAGTTGCACCTTTGGGTGCAGTTCTCACTTGGATATCTCTCCTCTGCTGCCTCTTTTACGCCTTTCTAAGGAGGGAGTGTGGCAGGGGAGGTATAATTGCCACCAATGCCAACCCTAACTATCCTTATGACCCTTGTTTTCTATTTGCTTGTTCATGCTGATGTCCATCAGATAGCAGTTTTACTAGCAGATGCTATTTTATACTCTGCCATCTATAGAGTCCTTAACCTCAAGATAAAAAGTTAAACAAAACAGCTGCTCTTTACTTTGTTTACCCTATACTTTAAACAATTCTGTGTACTGGATGGGATTCAAGTTATCTATTCAACTACCAACCCTTCGGTGTTCATTTATCCCAGCTACTTTCTCTTTAAGGTGGTTTGGTAGTAACAAGTCCAACTGCTATGAAGGAAGGAGGGCCTGTGTGTTAGACTTCAAGAACGGTGTCTTTTTTTTTTTTCCCCCCTTTGTGGAACAATAGTACTGAAAATTATTTCAAAATCCAGGAATTTTTTTTTGTTTATTTATGATGGTGAGCAGTTTATATTTAACAAGCTATGTCTTACATCAGTTTGTTTTAGAGGAGTAAAATTACACCTGAAAAAAGTTGAAAAACAAGTCCTACAAGTAGCCTTCTTAATTTTAGCATGAAGTGCTGCAAGAAAGCTTTCCAAGCAGCAGATAGCATAAAGACTGTTGCGAGAAACCAGAGAATCTGAGATATTTTGATATGTAGCAGTCTTTACCGTAGCTGTGCAATTTGCATTTTTCTTCCTAAACTACTATATTCAAAAAATAGTCAAAGAGGACAATTTAAGGAAAGCTACAAATAATCTTTCAGAGCTTGAAGCAGAGGGTACCACCTTCTGCTGTACAGTAGAATACGTAAAAATGTACTTTTGAGAGATACTCTGTTCATTTTTGTGCTTCTCTTGATCAGCCCTAAACTTCAGA